GATCCCTCCCTGCTCAATGGCCTTGAGTGCCGAGTATAGGACAAAATTTGCAGCTCTCCATCGGGAAATGGTGGCAAATCCAAATGAGTGAAAAATTCTCGAGAGTGGCGTTAAACAACATACATACAATCAATCAATCTATGTTCCTGAACCCTGCGTTGCAACGGTGGCAATTATGGAAACTTGTATATGTATCAAATAGCAAGATAATGATGGTCTTCTGATAAAATGTTTTAACAAGTTCCGCATCTGTAGCCTTTGTACGCTAGTTCTAAGGTCGAGTTTTTAGAGTTGGAGTTTAAGTCGATAACATACGAATTAGCACCTGTTGTATTTTACCCCATTCTAGAGCATTACAAGATTGATGGATATCACACCGGCTTTCATAAGACCTAGATGACGGTTATTTTGTTCATTGGCTCTTACATCTTCTAATCTCATGCGTTTCATTTTTTTTTTTTTGGTTTCCATTCGGGTAACCTCTCTGGATTTTTTTTCCGGTTTTGACTGTGTAACCAGAAGATCACAATGACTCAAGGTAATCATTTTGATCAACGTTTGCCCGTTTGCTAATACCAAAATTTATCACAGGAATCTGAACGATAGATTTTTGCCCTATTCTTTAAAGTTTTTTATTCACTAACAGGTGTTCAGCTTTCTTTCCACCACTTCCGTGAGGGTATTTGACGTGAAACATAATTATGACGAATGCTAAACCCCCCTCACCTGGTTTAAACTTTTTCTTAGATTATTGCGTAGCTTCTATTTTGTTTAAAATAAAGTCTTCGTTGAAATGGTTACATTAAGTAAATTCATATTAAATGCCGGAATCCAGAAAAGGTGGCGAACGTCGAGGCGTAAACAATCGTTAGATCTAATAGCATTTGACGTTTAAAAGCTTTAAAAGGTGTCTAAATACCAGTATTCACCGAAGAAAACATGTTATCCTTCTCCTCTGGAAATTCCTTGACATTCAAATTGTATACATATTTTTGGATATTAACTATGAATTCCTGAAATTTCAGTTCCAATCTCGTTTTAGTTTATAATGCTTTGAAATTTGCATTGGTGGTTGTGGCGGCGATAAAGATGATGGTGAGGAATTTGATGTGGTTCGTTCTGCGGGTACATTCCGTAATTATTGCAGTTCTCAATCTCTTTTGGGTATTCTCTGTAAGCACAGTGCATTTGTTTTCCTGAAATTTAATTCTCTACCTATTGTTATTAAAAAAAATCTTTCTTCCTTTTTTGACCGTCATATTTTTTATGTCTTTTAGAATGTTAAAAATGACTTTCTAAAGTCATGTTGATAGAAGTAGGATCTGACAACAGATAGGGCTCTAGGAAGTCAGATCGCAGTATTTTTGTTTTAAAAATATACTTTAATAGCGCGAGAACGACCAGAATATCTTTTTCAATTTCTTTGAGAAATACAGTACATGTATTTATACAGTTTATGAAGTCACAATGCATACGTAGCTGTAAATCGCTGCCAAGACATACCTTCAAAAAGTAGGTGAAACGTTAGCTCGATCGTGCTGTGTACGTTTTGATTTGTCTGGTTTTCCAAGTAAATCTCCCCGTTATTATAGGTTTTCCTGTGAGCTTCTATACCCCCTTTCGAGGGATGATCTGGGATGGAACCCCCGTCCTTCTGGGTAACAGGGGGATGGCCGTGCAAATTGCCTTGAGAAAAACTCTTAATCGAATCTCAATGTTTTTTTTTTCATGAAGGTTTTTTTTTTCAGGTTAAAGGGCATCGTTGAAAACCACGGCCAAAATGCCCGATCCTCTCCCATTCTGGAGAGAGCTACATGCTGATTCCGAACCGTGGCTTGAGACGATGGTTAAAGGGGGATTAAGAAACAGTGGTTTACCCATGCAGTTGGGTTGTCTTAGCTTTCGACCAAAGGGAGATCTTTTGAATCATCGGAAGGTTTCGTCCCTAGCGGTTTTCTTATTTTTTGATCAGCTTAAACATGAAGTCATATCTCGTATAGCTCATAATGTACTTAATACTTTAAGTCCTTTTCGTTCTTTGAGCACATAGTTTCTGCACTGAGGACTTCCATCTCTGTCTTTCTGCTGACATTGACTGTACCATGCCCCAAGTCCATCCCTGATCTTTCATTTCTTTTGATCGTCGCCATTCATGTCTCCTTTGATCGCCATTTGTTTACTTCGCCTGTTGGAGTCCCTCTGAAGGCTATATTATACGCTTGGTATATCTGATGATTTCATTCTCATAACATGGCCGATCCACCGTATCTCTTTCATCTGGTCAGATATGGCAGCTCTGTGCGTTTTTTCATCCTGTATGAATTCGGCCAAGATATCTTGAGTATTCTACAGAGACATCTTGTTTTAAAGATATCTAGATTTTGGATGATTTTGTACGTCACCATGACTCAGATCCATAAAGGAGGACCCTAATGACATTTGTTTTGAATATCCTTATTTTGGTTTTGGTTTTGGTTCTGATAATTGAAGATTTCCAGATGTTTCGTAGGTTGGCATAGGTGGCTCATGGTGTACACTCAAGAAACTGGATTTTTACCGATGATTCAGCAATAGTGGTCATCCATGCAGGTGGTTCCACTCTGGATTGAGTGGTTTGGCGGGTTGGATCTAGAGGCGAAAGATTCGTACAAAGGGACTTCTCCCCAGCTTATTTCGGTCTTGATCCAGCGGATTAAACAATCAGAATTAACCTTTTTTGCATAGTGTCCTATATTTTGATCCGGCCAGCGAGACCCCTTATACCTTGACCTTGGTGTTTGATCCTCTTTTAAAGAAAAATACCCTTGCATAATTTTAAACGGAGTGTAATTATGCTTTCCTCTTTAACATACATACATATATATTCAATATGACAAGATCTTTCCTTGGAATGAAGGTTATGAATTTAGAAACTTTGACCTTGACCGTGTTGACCGTGGAGTTTGGCCCAATTTTGATAAAATGGAACCTTACCCGACTTACTTACTTATACTTACTTATCCTCTACGTGCCCCGGAGGACGCACGAGGCTGTTCAACAACGAACGCCAATTACGGCGGTCACTGGCAACAACTGCCCCTCCTTCCAACTGTTCCAGCCCAGTTCTTCCCTTTCTCTCTAAACAGAGCGTCACCAGGTGTTCTTTGGCCGTCCTCTTCGTCTCTTTCCCTCAGGGGCCCATGTGAGAGCTTTTCTAACGTGTGAGTTCTCTTCCCTTCGGAGGATGTGGCCTATCCATCTCCATCTTTTTCTTTTGGTGGTGCTTGATAGAGGTATGGATCTTATTCTTTCATATAGTTGTTGGTTAGTTATCTTTTCAGGCCAGTGTATTTTAAGGATCCTCCTAAGGCATTTTCGGTGAAACGTATCAAGCTTTTCGACATCTTTTTCTTTCGTTCTCCTTAGTTCAGCACAATACAGCAACACAGATATGAACGTTTGTAAGTTTGGTCTTCGTGCTGTATTGTGCTGACTTCCATACCTTGGCAAGGGATGCAAAGGCGGTCCTGGCTAAGCCTAGCCTTCTCCCAATATCTGCCTCAGTTCCTCCGGTCTTGTCCATTGTGGCACCCAGGTAGAGAAATGTTTCGACCTCTTCTATCTCTTTATCATTCAACCTGATGGCATCCTTCTTCTTCCCATTTATTCTCATGCTTTTTGTTTTTTCAACAGTAATTTTTAGGCCTGTATATCCCGCGACAACTTGTAATCTCCTGGTCTTTTCCTGCATGTAGCTGTGTTTGCTGGAAATAAGTGCAAGGTCGTCTGAATAATCCAGGTCTTCAAAAGTGGACATAAATTTCCAACGTATGCCTCTCTTCTTATTGTTGGTATTTCTCATTATCCAGTCTACCACAATGATGATCAGGAACCCAGACATAACACAACCTTGTCTCACTCCTGTCTGTACTTTAACCTTACACGACACAGCTGTTTAAATAGTTGGTGTAAATTTTTACGCTTCCGAGTTTACATGTGTATTATTCGTTCTCGGTGTGGCACAGTGGTGTCCGCTGCTCTAGACTGAGTCACGGGTTCGAATCTATTGCGAAACGTGCAAACTGGTCATTCGGATGAGTGTGCTTAAACCGAGGTCCCTTGTTGGCATTAGAAAGTTTCCACAATGTAAACTGCATTTAACCTTTGAGGGTTCGGGAATCATATTTATATAATTGTCAGATTTCGATGTAGCTACAGAACTACAAAGTTGCATGTATGACATTTTTTTTTACATATTGTTGTTTGACCATAACTATAAACCAAAATGCTAGAGTTCTGCAGATATTAAATTTCAGTGGCGGATTTAAGGGGGGGGGGGCGCACCCGGCGCGCGCCCCCTAAAATTGTCAAAGTTAACGTAAATCACAGTTTCGTCTAGAAAATGTAAATATGTGTACTTGCATGGTAGACCTCATTTTTACCCTACAAAATCTCTAGAACCCAGGAGCTTCCGGGGGCTTCACCCCCTGGGCCCCCACCAGGGCTTTGCCCTGGACCCACTGGGGGCCTAAAGGCGGTCCCCATACCCCTTGCCTACTTTTGGCGCCCCCTCTAACTTCAATTCTTGGATCCGCGCCTGAATTTTGTTGCAGTCCAACTTTCCATGAATGTTTTTATCAGCCACGTAGCATCGTTTTATAAAGTGGGGGGGGAGGCAGCCAGAGAATTTTTTTTTGACTTACCTGAAAAAGTAGCAGCCCTCCCCCTGCTGCTACCTGCCTGTTTATGCAGACAAATCGCATGGACTAATTTAGAGTTAGTGGCACTGAAATAAAGATATATCCTCAGAGTGTTAAATCAAAAGTGGTCTTTTTGTTGTCACACATAATCATAGATTTTCTAAAATAAAAAAAATTGCATTCTATATTAGTTCAGCAAATGATTTTCTGATTTAAACAAAAGTGTTCTTATGTATTGCGGTATGGAAAATGTGAAAACCCGAATAATAAGAAGTACGAACTAATAGAAAATCTCTAGTTTCACTTTCCACATAAACTAAGTTAGGAAAAAAATCAACTTAAAAATACTTTCGATAATTTGACCAGTTTGTTGAACTTTCAGATAGATGGATTATGTAAGTATGTTGAGAATATCGATAATTTTGTAGTTTTTAGCATAAATGTCCCCATATAAATTATTGTTCATTGTTTTTTCCAGAATGCAAATGTAAGTGTTCAAATAATGCGCCAAAAAATGATCAACAGATCAATGCAATATACACTGATTGTTGAAGTTAAATCATATAAGTTATGTTTTTCTGATTTGATGGAACTTATAAGAGAAATATTGTATAAATTTCAAAATTCGATAAAGAAAACTTACTTCAGAATATTTTTTTCAAATTACGGCTAGGTTAATTTTTCACGGGAACTAGTCTGAATTTTCATTCTTTCAAGGGATTTCAAATGTTCTATGTCTGATGAATGAGGTGTCAGATTTGTCCATACTATCTACCTTTTCATTCAAGTCTGTTAAGTGGATCAAAGTAAATTTAAATGTTATTCTTCCTAACGTTGGTCCTATCTACCTGCTCATCTGAGTCTGTTAGGATAGAGTACTTAGTACAAGTTATTCTCCCTTAAGTTGGCCTAAAGTAAACAATCTAAGCTGTCTACTCTGAGTGTGTTTTATGTCATCATTTAAAGAAGGGTTGTTTAATTATATTTTTTTATGCTGAGTCTACAGGGATACATAGACGACTTTCACATTTACAAAAGTTATTCCCCTTTGCGGGGTCAATCCAGGGTCAACCGGCTTAAGGCATTGTTTTCCCTCTATAACCTTACCAACTTTATGGGTCAGTATCTTAGAAATAAAATCTGTATGAATATGTTCATTATGTTTTTCATGTTGCCCCATACTCTGGCAATATGGGTACAGATCCAAATTGTCCGATAACTTTTGAAGATTAAAAATATTAACAGGTAACTTACACAGGACAAAGTGGGAAAAATGAGTGTTACGCCAACAACAGAAGATAACTCTTAGGAATGTGAAATTCATCTATTGTAAGCTTCAGGATTTATGTTTCAAATGATGAATTAACATTTTCTTAAAAGAAATGTTGAATAAAGCTTTTTTTTGTGTAAATTATTTTTTTCATTACAGGGAGGAGGAACAAGCGTCACTTGCCAAAGAAATCAAAGCAATCGACAAAAAGTCAATCCACAGAATCTGTTCAGGGCAGGTTGTTCTAACTCTTGCCACAGCAGTCAAAGAGCTGGTGGAAAACAGCATTGATGCAGGGGCAACCAGTGTTGGTAAATAAAAAAAAATGCTAAAAAGTTACACTGAATCAGCTCTGTGTAATGTATTTTCTTTAGTTGAATAAATGGTGTTGCTGTTGAAATTTCTTCCACTTTAATTCATCAACTTCCATGACTGATTTTTTTTAATGATAAAAATGACTTTTTACCTCAGTGACACAACTGATGTGCTTCTGCTTGATTTAGTTAAATGATTAAGTTTTATATCTTGATGCTTTATGTTATAACCTTTTTTTCAGAAATAAAACTGAAGGATTACGGATTGGAGTCGATTGAAGTGAGTGACAATGGAAGCGGAGTGGAGGAGAGTAATTTTGAGGGACTAAGTATGGACCTTTGATTTATCATTGTTATTATCTATAAATCTTGTCTGCACACTTTACACTGACATCACTAATGTTCCTTTGTTAGCTCTCAAGCACCATACATCTAAGCTTCAGGATTTCACAGATCTGACCAGTGTTGCCACGTTTGGTTTTAGAGGGGAAGCCCTCAGCTCCCTTTGTGCTCTCAGGTATACATATAAATTATTGTACTTTGTCTTTTTGTCTAGTGTTTTCAAATGTGAGCAACAAAACTATACTTCTTTTAGACAACACTTTAAGCAGTACAGTAGTTTGTAATGAATTATATAATGCTTATCTTTTTTGTGCATATATAGTAATACACTTCATTATTTTTTTTATCACAGCTCCCTAACAATTACAACAAGGCATGGTGATACAACTGTTGGAACAAAACTGGAATTTAATCACAATGGAAAAATAAAGACCAAGTCTCCACAACCAAGACAGGTGTAAATATATAAAATTAAGACAAATTATTCATACATTTATAAAATCAGGTAGAAAAAAAATTATAAAGTATGGATGTGAGTTTGTAAGGAGAGATGTAATGTCAAGTGTACAAGGTGTTTGACTACCATTACAATAACAGTGTGTCCTTTTGTTTGGTCAAGCATGCTTATGTTTCAAATGTTGATCACCATATTTCTCATCTATTGGATGCTTAATTACAATGAAATGAATGCCCCCTCCGGTATTACTTTGCAAATGAACAGAGAAGTCCGCTATGGATTTGGACTGACCAAGTGTTGCTGCAAACTACAAATGTCAGAACAAAACCAGGACACTCAAACAGAACAGAGTTCATGGAAATTATAAACATTCAAACTTAAAACTATTGAGGTTTATTGGAATACAAAGTATAACATTAAATAGCATTTTTTTATGCATAAAGATAATTTACTGTAAAACACGCCTATAATGAACTGCCAGGGATGGGTGGTTTTACTTCGCTATAAGTGTAATTCATTATATCTGTTAAGTTTACAATATATTTGAAAGTCGCTGGGAATAAAAATCAGTTTGTGGTAATTGTCAATTCAATGTAAGCCTCTTCACTATGAGCATGTTTTATGTTGTATGAAAATAATATAATAGGTATATAGAGATATTTTATCAGTAAATTTGTGGGGTTTGACATAAGAGTGTTATGTAACTTGTACATGTATATTGAATAGAGAGGAACAACAGTACTTCTACAGAACCTGTTCTCTACTCTTCCTGTTCGACACAAGGAATTCCAGAGGAATGTCAAAAAGGAATTCAATAAATTGATTCAGGTGCTGAACTCTTACTGCATTATCAGTACAGGAGTTAGGATTACCTGCTCTAACCAATCCAAGAAAGGGTAAGTGTGTCCTAATTTTACAAACACTCCATGACATGCCATACTCCTCATTAATTTATTTTCACAAAACCCAGTTGAAGATTTTAAGCCAAAAATAACCCATTGATTTTAAAATGCCAAAAAAAAGTAAAATAAGAATAATTCTCAAAGTTTTTAAAGTACATGTACTCAATTTTATCTATATAGTTTTGAGGAAATTAATTTGCACCACATACATGTATATCAGAAACACGGTAAGCAACATAGCAAAAGCTGGGAGCAGATCAAATATCTACAGGTATTGTTAATTAGATTCAGAATACCCTGGTAATCATTTAAATGGTAATTAATAATTTTTTTTTAACAAGTAGAGGGTGGTCAACAGTGTTGTCCAGCAATGGAAACCAAACGTTGAGGGAAAATATAGCAGATGTTTTTGGACCAAAACAGGTACAGATATTAATCAACTGTTCACACTTGTTTTGAGGGACAGTGTGGGTGGACTTATCTTTGGATGGTTCATATTTTTACTACAGAATTGTTTGTTTGTCAACCACAATTAAATCCCCTTGAAGCAATATTTTTACAAAAACCACAAAAGTTTGATTCCACAAAGTTAAAGTGATTTTTACAGTATGCAAACTATAAGTTAACTTTTCTTGGGTTTTAAATTAAAAGCTGCATTTTCTTTTATTGCTGTAATCATTCTTCTACAGATGCACAGTCTTACAGAGTTTGTGACCTTTGACCCAAGTGATGACATCTTGGATGAGTACAGTCTCAAGGTCAACAAGGACATTGTTAACTGCTTCAGGTCAGTTAAACATTTTAGTTAAAATCAAACTTCTTAGATCTACTCTGAACACAGTAAAATTCTAAGAAGTCTGAATTTAATTAGATTGAGCTATTATTTATAATATGATACATGTATATCAATTTTAGGATTGTTAATTTGGCTGTGTTTATAAATGTGCATGAATGCCATGTGGTGTGGATTTTCTCGCTTCATAGTATTGATGGCTATGTTTGAAATTAAGTGGATATTTTTTGTTTGTAGTATTGATGGTTATGTTTCTTAGTGCACAGATATTTTCTATTTATAGAATAGAAGGATATATTTCTAAGTGCCCATGGTGTTGATTTTCTCTGTTTGTAGAATAGAAGGCTATGTTTCTAAGTGTGCCCATGGTGTGGGGAGGAGTGCTACAGACAGACAATTCCTCTTCATCAACAAACGACCATTTGATTCAGCAAAGGTCTGTCCTATTTTTTGTTAAATTTTACTGTAAAATTTGAATATAGAAAAAAACATGGATGTGTGAATTTACTTACTCTTTCCTTCATCTGTTTACTTGTATAATGAATTTGTAAAATTATAAATATGTTGAGGAAAGTATATTTATACAATATACCTTTGAGAACTAGCATGTTATTTTTTTTTTCTTTTTGATGAAATGAATATTAGATATAATACTTAAATAAAAATAACTTCAGTTGAATGTTTAAATAGTTCTGTTATAGGAGCTGTTATTTCGTTTTTATAACCTCTATGGGGCAGAAAATCAATTCAGAACATCCCATTTCTTTATATCATATTTTCTTTTAGCCAGAATTCTGTTGAATTTTACTGTGAATCAAAAAAAATTTGCTTTATCTATAAGTTCACTATAACCATGCAGTTTTACTGTGCTTTCAAAGAAAACACCTTTAAAATATTGACAATTGTATTGATTTATTACATTTTTACCTGTGAAATACTGTAATTTATTCATTGAATAAAAATGATATCCTGTCACAGTGTGACGAATATCAGAAGTGCGGGAAAACTCTCGATTTCCCTTCCCATAACGAAGATTGTTGTAAAAAAAAATCTTCCTTGACCTAATATAAGATAGATGGAAATAAATAAACCATTCTGACAGCGAATAAAACTGTCGAAATTACCAAAAAAATGTTGCTAAATCCATGTTTACAGTGTTTTCACCTCACTTATCTATGACGTTTCAACCGCTCAACTATGACGTCATGTAGCCAATGGCTGTATTACAAAAGACTGGGGCAAAGGAAAAATCAAAGATTTTTTGTAAAAAATGTAATAAACAGAAAATTCAATGTTTTGTAGTTGAATATGGAATTTATTTCACTCCTGAGACTCCTTTTTGATATTTTCACGAGCGCAATAAATTCCATATTCAACTAAAAAACATTGAATATCCTCTATGTATGATTAGATTCAATTATCTTCCAGATTACAAAAGTGATAAAATATTGACAATTGTCTTGATGTATGATAAGATTTCAATTATTTTTCAGATTACAAAAGTGATAAATGAAGTGTATCATCAGTTTAATCGTCACCAGTACCCATTTGTAGCCATTCATATCACCATGGATAAAGGTAAGAATAAGTAAGAATTGATAGCAGTGCAATTTAACTTTGGTATCTCAGACATTGATACATGTATTACAAATACCATGGATATGATGAACTATGTAATCTTAACTACTTTTCTTTGATGTATTTTACCCTTGATATATGAAAAACTCATAAAAATTGTAGGCCATCAGTTTCACATTGACTTCATGTAAACAACAAAACTGAATTTAATTATAATATGGATCCTTAATTTATTTATCTACAATAGAGCTTACAAAGTTGACAGAGTTTCCATAAGCGTTTATCAGAGAATTGGCTTTATAAATGAATAGAATGATTTAATCAATTTCATTATATAAGATACAGATAATGATGCATCTCTATAATATTAAAGATATAAATTCCGTAATCCTAATTTTCTGGTTGTTGTCTTTGATAGTGAATGCTTATCTATTGTAGAATCCGTTGATGTAAACGTTACCCCAGACAAACGTCAGATATTTATGGAAAATGAAAAGATTCTACTGGCTATTATAAAGGTTATCCACTTCTAATAACTATGTAATAAGGCTTCTATAAATTCAGACCACTGCAAGATAATGGGGTGTTTTCCCATAAAAAATTTAAATTGTGAATGTGTTAATGTATACCTGTATTATACATGTATTTTAACCTTTTAGACATCTCTTCTGAGGATGTATGAGCCTACTGTGTCCACCTATCCTCTGACTATGATCACTGATAAACTGTTCCAGAAAAACTCAACCCCAGAGAAACTCAACGCAGGTGAGTTAAAAAAATTCAACCCAAGAGAAACTCAACTCAGGTGAGTTATAAAAAAACTCAAACCCAGAGAAAGTCAACTCAGGGGAGTTAGAAAAAAAAATCTACCCCAAAGAAACTCAACTCAGGTGAGTTTGCTAGAAAAAAAAATCAACCTCAGATAAAATGAACTCAGGGGAGTTAGAGAAAAAAACTCAACCCAGAGAAACTCAAATCATGTATCAGTTAAAAAAAAAAAAAATCAACCCCAGAGAGAGTAAACTCATGGGAGTTTGAAAAAATCAACCCCTGGGAAACTCAACTCAGGTGAATTTGCTAAAAAATCAATCTAAAAAATCATCTTAGGTGAATTTGTTTGGAAAAATAAGCCCAAAAGAAAGAATAATGGATGATTGAATACTAAGTGAGTTGCTGGATTGGATAATGAAAAAAGTCATTTTTGTGATTGATTGCTCATTGCTGGATAGGATCATGCGACAGTGTCCTTTTTGTGATTCTACCTGATGTCTTTTTGTACTTATATTTTCAGACTGTGAGAGAGAAGGTACAGATAAGTAAGTAATCAAATCTTTATTTAAAAATTCCCTAAAATTACAAAAGAAACTAGTGCTAATTGTAACGGGAACCGTTACAGATGTTCCCCAAACGCTCCCCAAATCCCTTTTCGTGCCATATTCCCTGTAAGCTTTATTAAAAAAAGGCAAACTCTATGCATTTAAGACTTTGTCAACGTTTTCCCAGAAGTATACCAAGTATATTCAAATTTTAGCATAGCACGCGTGCGCATGTGAATGCATATGCATAATGACGATAACATCTTGTCTCCACTATTTAGAAATCTTGATATACTAAATATTGAAGCGTTTAATCCAAAAGCATTAAAAATACGATCATTCAAGTGTATTCTTAAATTTACCAATTTCACGTGCAAGCACGTGCATGCATGTGCATGATGACCATACCCTCTTGTAGGAGTCTATTATGTCTGTGTAAGGTCCGAATCCCATCCTGTTTGGTTGAAAAACAAGGGAGTTAGAGCCATTTAAAGTTTAAGCCAATCAGATTGCAGTGCACGTGCATGTGCATGCATTTATGAAAATTGTTACAAATCATATTGTAGGATATCTTAATGCATGCCTATGTCCAAGATTCCATAGCATTTCGTCAAAAAACGAAAAAGATATTGATATTTTTGTTTCAGCCAATCAGATCAAAGCGCACGTGCATGCATGTGCATGACGACCATACCTTCTTGTAGCAGTCCATTATGTCTGTCTATGTTCTAAACCCCATCTTGTTTGGTTGAAAAACAAGGACGTTATAGCCATTTAAAGTTTAAGCCAATCAGATTGCAGCGCACGAGCATGCGCATGTTTTCATGACAATTGTTATATATCGTTTTGTAGGACATCCTAAAGTATGCCTATGTTTTAAATTTCATAGCATTTTGTCAAAAAACAGAAAAGATATTGAGGTTTTTGTTTCAGCCAATCAGAGCGATGCACACGTGCATGCGCGTGAGTTCGTGCTAATTTGACAGTGTCATATTATTAACACTATTAATATATCCTTAAATAATGAGTTTCAAAGCATTTCATCAAAAAATGTAAAAGTTATGACTATATTAGATATATCAGTCATTTCACTCATTTCACGCGCACGCACGTGCAGGCGTATGCGCGCAAAATGACCTTCGTTCCGCACACCTACACTACACACCCATTAACCCTAAAAAGGTTTTAACTTAGTTTGGTGAACAGTTTCTGAGAACACTCGCGGACAAAAAAGTACCGGAGAACAAATAAGAAAAAAAAAATAATAATAATAATAAGAAACCGAGTAAAAACAATATGTTCCCAAACTCCGTTTGGGGAACATAATAATAAGAAACAGAGTAAAAACAATATGTTCCCAAACTTCGTTTGGGGAACATAATAATAATAATAATAATAATAAGAAACAGAGTAAAAACAATATGTTCCCCAACTTCGTTTGGGGAACATAATAATAAGAAACAGAGTAAAAACAATATGTTCCCCAACTTCGTTTGGGGAACATAATAAGAACTAGTGCTAATTGTAACGGGGACCGTTACAGATGTTCCCCAAACGCTCCCCAACTCCCTTTTATAGTCATATTCCCTGTAAGGTTCATTAAATAAGACAAACTCTATGCATTTGAGACTTCAACAACGTTTACCCGAAAGTGTACTATGTTCATTCAAATTGTATCATTGCACACTTGCGCATGTGAATGCATGTGCGTAATGACCATATCATAATGTGTACACAATCTATATATTCTAATATGCTAAATATTAAAGTATTTAATCCAAAAGTATATAAAAAAAGCTCATTCGAGTGTATTTTTGATTTAACTCATTTCACGTGCACGCACGTGCATACATGAGCATGGTGACCATAGCTTCTTGTAGAAGTCCATTACATCTACATGTATCTATGTTCTAAATCTTACCCAGTTTGGTTGAAAACCAAGGGAGTTATAGCTGTTTAAAGTTTCAGCCAATCAGATTGCAGCGCACGTTCACGCACGTGTATGCATGTGCATGGTGACCATACGTTCTTGTAGAAGTCCATTATATATATCTATGTTTCAAATCCCATCCTGTTTGGTTGAAAACCAAGGGAGTCATAGCTATTTAAAGTTTCAGCCAATCAGATTGCAGCGCACATGCATGCACGTGTTTTCATGATATTTGCTTTATACCATATTTTAAAATGTCGTATTGCATGGCTATGTTCAAAATTTCATAGGATTTCGTCAAAAAACAAGAAAGATATTGAGACTTTAGTTTCAGCCAATCAGAGCAAAGCGCACGTGCATGCGCGTGAGATCTTGCTATTTTGACCATGTCTTCATGTCTATACTACTAATATATCCTCACATTATGAGTTTCAAAGCATTTCATCAAGAAATAGAAAAATTGCGGATATACCTATTATATTAGTCATTTCACGTGTTGCACGTGCGCGCTCTTGCAAGCACGTGCGCGAGGAACATGTCATCATGCTTATACAACTAATATATACTTATATTATGAGTTTCAAAGCATATAGTCAAAAAATAGAAAAGTTACGGCTATATCTATTATATTGGTCATTGCACGTGTTGCACGTGCACACTCTTGCAAGCACGTGCGCGGAAAATGACCTTGATTCCGCAAATCTACATAACATGTCTACTAACCCTAAAAAGGTTTTACCTACTTCGGATGAACAGTTTACAAGATCACTCGCGGACAAAAAAGTACCCAGGAAGAAGAAGAAAAATAACTAGTGCTAATTGTAACGGGGACCGTTACAGATGTTCCCCAAACGCTCCCTAACTCCCTTTTGGTGCCACATTCCCTGTTATCTCTATTAAATAAGAAATACTTTATGGAATTTAGACTTAATCAAGGTTTTCCAAGAAAAATACAAAATATATTTTAAAAAAATAGGCATTGCACGCGTGTTCATGTGCGTAACGACCATATTATCTTGTCTACACTATCTAAAATTTTAATAATATCAAAGCATTTCATCCAAAAGTATTAAAAATGCACTCATTTGAGTGTATTTTTTATTTTACTCATTTCACGTGCACGCACGTGCAAGCACGTGCATAATGACTACACCTTCTTGAAGAAGTCCCTTATATTTATCCAAGTTCTAAATCCCATCCTGTTTGGTTGAAAAACAAGAGAGTTATAGCCATTTGAAGTTTCAGCCAATCAGATTGCAGCACACATGCATGCGCGTGATTTCATGAATATTTTCTATATCATATTTTAGGATATCGTAATGCATGACTATGTTATAAATTTCAAAGCATTTCGTCAAAAAACAAAGGAGATATAGCCATTTAAAGTTTTAGCCAATCAGATTACAGCACGCGCGCATGCGCATGCTTTTATTAAAATTTTAATATATCATGCTGTAGATCTTCATAATGTAGGACCATGTTCAAAATTTCAAAAGATTATGACAAGAAACAAGAAAGATATTGAGACTTTAGTTTCAGCCAATCAGAGCAAAGTGCACGTGCATGCGCGTGAGATCTTGCTATTTTGACAATGCCATCTTGTCTATACTACTAATGTATCCTTACATTATGAGTTTCAAAGCACTTTATCAAAAAATAGAAAAGTTCCGACTTTATCTATTATATTGGTTATTGCAAGTGTTGCACGTGCGCGCTCTTGCAAGCACGTGCGCGCAAAATGACCTTGATTCCGCAAATCTGCATAACATGTCTACTTACCCTAAAAAGGTTTTACCTACCTCGGACGAACAGTTTACAAGATCATTCCCGGACAAAAAAGTACCCAGGAAGAAGAAGAAAAATAATAATAATAATAATAATAATAATAATAATAAGAAACAGAGTAAAAACAATATGTTCCCCAACTTCGTTTGGGGAACATAACTAGTGCTAATTGTAACGGAGACCGTTACAGATGTTCCCCAAACGCTCCCCATGTCCCTTATCGTGCCTTATTCCTCTAAGACCTTTTATAAATATGCTAAGTATCCCAAGATTTCATTTAAGAATATAAAAGTTACAATGATATCAACTATCAACGATATATTGTTTAACGTTTTTTACATGCGCGCACACGTACATGTACATGCATATGCAAGATGATTATGGCATTTTGATTAAGCGATTAACATATCTTTCTATCCCACGAATCAAAGAAAAAAATACATATATAAATTTACCATTTTTCAAGCATATGTCATATTTTTAATATATCGATTCACATTTTATTTCTCTACTTATTTTAACCTCGGGCTCAAAGTTGGTTTTATTCCGACTACAAGGCAGGGTTAAAGTCAACTAAGGGTATCACGCCAATACCTTACCAATCAAAATGAACTTATTCAATAGTAGTTCCATACATGGAAAAGGGATTTTCCTTTCTGTTCAGAATTTTTTTTAATATTTCCTCTCAGGCCATTTTGACAACTCTGATACCTGTGCCTGGTAAATTTTATATACTTTGTAAATAAATATATAAAGGTTTTTTGACCGGAACTATTCATTTTTTCCAATGCATAGGGGGCTACTCTCTGGGTTTTACGTGAGATGTTTAAAAAGACATTTGTGTCAGCTAATGTGACCTATATTGTTTAACACCTTCTTATTAATATTTTTTTCATGAATGCAAATATCTGATTATTTTACGAAGGAGCGTACATGTATACTGATTTTTAATATACCGAAAATCGCTATTTCTGGGGATTGCGTAATTCTAAAAAAAAATTCAAATAAATTTCAAAGGTAAATTAAACAAAGGATGCTTGGTATTAAAATATTATTTCAAATCAGTAGAATCGAATGCTATTAACGACATCTGAATAAATAGGCTATAAAAGGCTTATATGCCAACTTTGGTCATCTGCACTTTAATTTTAAACACGACAGGATTTGTAATTTTTTCTGTATAAATTAATAATTTCTATATACTTTGGAAACTCAAATGACATATTTTAATACACTTTCCTCGAGCTCTTTTCTGCAGTTTTCCTGAAATTTTATGTGGGTCCGA